AACAACAACAACAATAATCTAATAGTAATAACCATTGAACTAGATTTGGCATTTTTAATTTTTTTAAGAAACTTCATCCTTTTTACTATAATGATGGACTCAATCTACCTTCCCACTAATAGTACATATTCCCTTTTCTCTGTATCTTTGTCAACACTTAAATTTTGCCTTTTTGATAATAGTTGTTTTAACTGGAGAGGAGATGTTGTGGTATCTCAGTTCATGAATTGAATTCTTTCTGTGCTTTGGTCCATTCATTCCATGATTCTTGTTTCAAATAAACTGCAAGCACATATTGAGAATCCAGAATTGTTGAATAAATTCTATGGCCAGAATTGTGGTAAAAATTCAGCTCAAGAGCTGAGGGAGCACTGCATCTCACCATCATTTTGATTTGTATTACATGGAAGGTGAGTGACAGTGAATGGTTTCCGTATCCTGTTGGGTGGTCCCTTAAAGCTGGGCTGGCCTTGAATTTACAATGTGGCTCAGATTACCTTGACTTCATGGTGAAACCTCATACCTCAGCCTTCCAAGGCTGGAATTATAAATGTGTACCACCATGCCTGGTTCTGTTTGTGAATCTTTTTTTTGAGAAATGTCTATTTATATCCTCTAAAATTTTTAACTTCAGCTAGTTATTGATCTTTTTAAATTGAGCTTGTTATTTGTCTTAATTTTTTAATATATTTTGAATTTTCATCCTTTATCATATGTATGATTAATACATATTTTCTCTTTTCTATAGGCTGTTTTTTTCTCTGTTGTGTCTTCTACAGGAACTTTTTAGTCTGTCTTATCTATTTTTTTTTTTTTTTTTTTTTTTTTTTTTTGATGAAGGGTCTCACCATTTAGTCTAGGCTATCCTTGAACTTACTGTTCTGGCCTTGAACTCACAATGATCCTCCTGCCTCAATCTTTTGAATGCTAGGTAAATATTTCTGAATTAAGTCATTACCCAAATGAATGACAGCCTTTATCTTATACTTTATTTTTTTTTGTTAAAGCCTCAGGACCTACATTAAAGATACAAACCAAGTTTGTATTGATCTTGTATGGGGTGTGAGAGAGGTGTCCAATTTTATTCTTCTGATGTGTATATCTAGTTTTCTAACATCATTTATTGAAGGTGTTGAAATTTCTTTGTTGTGTGTTCTTAGTACCTTTATCAAAGCTTTGTCCTTCTCATTCAAGAGTTGTCTGGTGATGTGATCATTTAGGTCTAGAATGTCCCCAAGGGACTCTTATGTTCTGTGGTGGGGTGACTGGGTGCTGTACTCATTAGGTGGAGTGATCCATCAGTGAATTCAAATGTCACTGTGCTGTTAGGAGATGGATCTGATTGGAAGAGTGCTGTTGGGAATGTGCCTTTGTCAGGCCACTCTCCTTCCTCTGTTTCTGCTTTGTCTCTCTGTTTCCTGGCTGCCATGAGGCAAGCAGTTTTCCTACACCATGCTGTTTCTGCCTTGGAGCCCAAGACCTTGGAATGAAACCCTTGAATCTTGATCCAAATTAAATCTCTCCATCCCTGAGTTGTGGATGTTGGGTATAGTGTCATAGCAAAGAGGAAGCTGACTAACATGGAAGAAGCAGGAATAATGGTTTTTCAATGGACAATTACTTCTCTTCATTTCAATGAATGTT